ATCACCCATTTTAATCATGGTTTAAATCAACAAGCAGGAAACCTTGATTTAAAAAAAACGCGTTTTAATCTTGTATTTTAAAGTTCATTTCCTAATGAAACGCAGCTTTGCATTGGCTGGCATAATTTGGTACTATTTCTGGCAAAGCAGAATGGGACGCGACACCCATGCATATTTATTGGCACGACTGTATAGCTTAACATATATCTGCTCTCCTTTGGAACTTTCACATCTTTTTATCACATGAGTGAGATGGGAAACGTATAATTTCTGATTTATTAGACCTGGATTTTTTTTTTAAACATTTGTCTCAGGCTGCACGAGGATAAAAATTAAAATGCAATTAAAAATGTATGAAGGAAGCATTTAGGAAGTTTGTTGTTCATCTTGCAGAGCAGAAGGCTGGAATGAGCATCTGCAGATAACCTCCTCCTACGTTGCGTTGAGGCAAGATCAATTACACCTTTCCCCTTCTCTCAACTGTTTGCTTAACCTTTCTGTGGATGTCTCCAGTGAAAAAAATCGGCAACTTCTCTGATATCTGTTGCAGTGAGAACATTGTTGGATTTTTTTTTTTTTTTTTGAGTGTCCAAACTTAAGCTTTCTTTGCTCCGAGTTAAATTATTTCTTCTTCTTCTGCCACTGTGAACACAGAGAACAATCGACTGCTGTCTTAATAACCTGCTCGCTATTGGAAGATTGTTATGCCTCTGTGCCAGAGTCTTCTCTCTTTTTATTTCTCTTCATTTTTTTTTCAGTCTGAATGAGTCTAGTTAATTTAACCTCTCCTTTCCAGCTCTTTTTCCTAAAGCTGTGCTGCTTTTATTTCTTTTCCTTGGGACTGCCTCCTAATTTTTTGGTCTCACACTGCATCTGCAGCGAAATTACTTTATGAAAGCCTTAGAAGGAGCAATCACTTGCAGAGGCATGCTGGCAAACTGCAGAACTCATTGCTAAAAAGTTAAATGGAAGAGTGTTTAAACAAACTAATGAAACATGCATGCCTGGTTGTATGCCTGGCCTTTGGGTGTAGCTGTCCATAAAATCACAGAATGTGAGTTGGATGGGACCCTTACCGGCCATCTGCTCCCACTCCTTGCACTGAGCAGGGACACCCACAGCTGCATCGGTGTTCACAGCCTATCCAGCCAGACGCTGATGTCTGCAGTGATGGGGCACCACCTCTCTGGGCAGCCTGTGCCACTGCCTCACTGCCCTTATCATAGAAAACTTCTTCCTAAAGACTAAATCTCTCTTCTCTTGGTTTGAAACCCTTTGTTCTGTCACAGCAGATCCCGATAAAGAGTCTGTCCCCTTCTTTCTTACAGCACCTCTTTACATACTGGAAGGTTGCTCTCAGGTTAACAGAGCCTTCTTTCCATGCTGAACAGTCCTAGATCTCAGCTTGTCCTCGTAGGGAGGTGTTCCATCTCTAAGGTCATTTTTGTGGCCCTCCTCTGGTTGCATTCCAGCAGTTCCACATCTCTCCTGTACTGTGGACTCTAATTCTGCACACAGTACTCCAGGTAGGTCCCATCAGCACAGAGCAGAGGGGCAGAATCACCTCCCTCACCCTGCTGGCCACATTTCTTTTGATGCAGTGCAGGACACAGTTGGATTTCTGGGCTGTAAGGACATGTACTGGGGTCCTGATGCCACTGGACCACTGCTCTGCATCCCCACCATGCTGCTGTCATCCACCAGGAGCCCATCATGCTTCTGTGCTTCAGAGAAGGCTGGGATGTGCCAGTGCCTTCCTCTCCTTTCCTTGTAGCAGCTGGGGAAGCAGGGCTGGCTCTGTCTTCTCTCCAGGGGAGCCTTGGATTAGCAGGATGGTTGCAGGGGTGCTGGGGGAGTCAGGTTCTGCTCTGAGCAATGGCAAATATGGGTGTGGGGTGATGGGAGCTTTGCTGGAGCACGAGGATGGGTAATGTTATCCCAGCCAGCCTGTGTTGTAGGCAGCCATTGGGAAGCAAGATCTCGCTCTTCCCTAGAATGTGCTGGATTCAACAGCTCTCCTTTTATCTGCTCAGAAAGTGCTGAAGTATTTCTCTCTGCTCTTCAAAAGCAATCCTGCACTGCCCAGAGGGGGCTGTAATTCATGCGGGGAGCTGGGAGAAAATGATGCTAGTCATCTCCGCACAAGTGTATCAACCACTTAACTCCTGGCTTCAGCTCCTGAGTGAGGCTTTAAATGTGAGGATGGGAATGTGGTTACAAGGACTCTGTGGGTCACCTGCGAGCTAAAGGTACACTGGGAAACTGCCACTTTTGGAAGGGCTGTGTTAGGGGACGGCACTTATTACTACTGTCTCTAAGGGTATTCGTAAGGGTAATTGCAGTCCTTGGCTTTCCTGTGTGCCGTGACATTATGATGCTCCGTGGTGTTCATGAGAATGCCCTATTACTGAAGGCCTTTTGAGTACAGCACCTTATTGCTCCTGTTCATGCCTGCACTTCCAAATCCCTTTTTTCTTTCCAGTTTGCTTTGTGGAGATGAATGCCTTCTGATGGGCACAAGCCAGAAGGATCCTGCCTGGGTTTAGCTCTGCTGAGGCCAGTGAGTGCAGCATGGATGGGGTAGGTCCATGGTTTCTTGCATGTGAGTGATGCTGGGGGAGTCATAAAATCATAGAACTGTAAGGGTTGGAAGGGATCTCTAGATCATCTAGTCCAACCCCCCACCAAAGCAGGCTCCTTGCTCCAAATGGTGCTTCCAAGAGGAGGATGAGCCTGTAAGGGGCTCTTCCCAGGTATCTTGGGTGCCTCGTGTTTCCTGAGAAACCTTTGAACTCTGAGGTGTCTGTTTCAAGGAATAATATAGCTGGGCAGCTTTCAAGCTGTGGCTTTGCACCCACCTTCTCCCTCATGTTCATGAGCTTGGCAGTGTCTGTGCTTTTGCTGAAGAGCCTGCATTTGTTTTTAACACTTGCTGCTCTGTACAAGTAGAGAGCATGCAGGGAAAGAATAGATTTTTTTTTTTTTTTTTTTTTTTTTTTTAAGATAGGCAGGCATCAAAACCCCATTCTCTTCTTTAATCTCTTCAAGCTGTAGATGATCAGAACTTGTTGCACAGATTCATCCACTGGCAGCTTAATTAACTAATGGTCTCAGAAAGCACTTACAGAACAATTGATTGTATCCAGTCTGGTACTGTTATCCCTCTCCTGTTCACACACACAGCATTGCTCAGTCAGTTCTTGGATGGTGAAAGTTGGACCCGGTTCCCTTTCCCAAGCCTGCTTTTTATTTGCAGGTTTTAGATTAGAGGTTTAGGCAGAATTAAACTTTCTCTGGTTGTAGTTGGCTGCAGCTGTAACAGCTTTCGAGTATGAATAGCACAGGGCAAGGAAAACATGCTCAGCATTGTTTCACTGCTGCCCTGGATTACTGCCTGCTCCACACCTGACCCTGGGACACACGTGAGAGCAATGCATGATGTTCCATCACTTGTCATCTTGCAGCATTGCTGTGCCTCTGGCCTGAACTGAGAACTCTCACTTGGAAGTTCCTGGCAGCCCTCCTGGTGATACATGTCACGTTGAAATCCCGTGTTGTGGGATCATGTGACAAAGAGAATCGTAGCCCTGATTGCAATAAAACTTAATTTCCTTACCTCTGTCAAAATGTGCATGTAAGAAGACAGCTGAGCCCTTGGGGCTACATATGAGATAGGAGAGGGAAGATCTCCTCCTGGGTTGAGTGTTTAAGCAATTTTCCTCTGTGGGGATGTGAATTCCTGGCATTGCTGGTACCATGTTCTCTACTGCTGCAATGGGGATTGCTGGGGTGAACTGGGATTTGAAAAGGATTGAAGCTGGCTCTGAGGAAGATGATCCGAACCCAGCTCCAGCTAGACCCAAGGTTGGGTTTGGTGCCATCTGTGCCAAGGGTAGATGACATTCACAATGACAAGCAAGGTGAGTGCAGGTTCTCCTCTTGCTCATTCCCTTCCTCACTCCCTCTGACTCTGACTCACTCCCTCCGCACTGACCAAGCATGGAGCCCACCATCAGCCCACCACTGGCCCTACAGGCATCCTTCAGATGCTGTGGGTGCTGCTGGTGGCTAGCAGGGTGGTGTTGCTTGACTTGAAACCCTGGAAGGATCATTAAGTCAACCAATTTGGTTGACTTCCTGCATGGATGAGAGCGCCCCAGAAACTTAATAGGTTGCCCTCGTGGGCAACAGCTCATGCTTGGTATTTATAGAGAAATGGTGCTTTGAACAGATCCCATATTTTAGCCTCTCCTGCTGTTCTCAAGCTAGGGCTGAGCCTTGCTGTTAATAAGGGAAATGCAGACATGCCTTCACAGTAAAGGCAAAAAAATAAAACCCCTTTGCTTTCCTTCCCATCTTGCTGGGAGCACCCTGCTGCTCCCCTCCACTTTTTTCCTATTGCACAAAGAGTGAATTCTCTCTCTTAGGCTCCTTTCTAGAGGACTGGATGCTGAGTGTGTCCATGCTGCCACACTTATCCTGAAGTTGGCTTTCAACGGCAGGAAGAAAGAAAAGTGCTGTGGTTTGGGAGAAAAGGGAGAGTGTGGAAGACCTGGGGTTTGTCTGCTGTGCTTTGGATTTACTATATAGCTGTGGGAAAGTCACCTGTGTGCATCTGCTCACAGCACTTTTGGCTCTAGAACATCCACCAGCAGTGCAGGATCTTCAGCGTGAAATGCTGGCCAAATACACAGAAGGACTCTGTGGCTCACCCAGGGGAGAAGCAGATTCCCAAGCCTCCTCCTGTCTGCAGGGGCTATTGAGGCATTCACTAATCCTCAGAGTCTGCAGGTTTATGAAAGCAGCCGCTCTTCTTCGTTAGAGTCAAAAGGAATGACTTGTGTTTGATTTCCTTTGGGACTGGAGCTGGCTGTCTCTGTTCCTCGGCTCAGAGCCATAGCAGTGGGGAGAAGAGGGGAGGGGAAAAGCCAGGGGAGCACACTGCTGGGACTTTTTTAGGACTGAGGCTTCTCGGTTGTTCTGTAGCTGTTGGGATTGTTTTCACCTTGGATTGAAATGCTTTTCCCTGGAACTCTTTGCCCTTCTGCAGGGGGATTGAAGAGCTCTGCTCCTTAGCTTGTGAGACAGAATCACCGCGGGTGCTGAGAGAGAGCAGGAAATCACCTTTGTAAAGCTGTCCAGAAAGCCTTGAATTCAGGTACGAGCCTCGTGTTTATAGGAACATAAAAGGAACCATGGAAACTGAATATGGGTCAGAGCACCTGCAAGTGGATAAAAAGTAGAGGGATTGCAAAGCTACCCTGATTTCTCTGTCTTTGGATATGCTCTGCTGGTTGCAAACCTCCTTGGGGTCCTAGGCTCCATAGGAGCCTTGGGGATCTATACAAAGAAGGAATTTCTGGGGAAAGCAGCAGACAGAAGGCATGCTTTAAATTCCTGTGCGTGCCTTGGTCCTTCAGCTTCCACAGAGGATTCCACGAGGACCGCAAGCTGCTCAGTCTACAGGGAGCTGCTGCTGGATCTGGTGCTCCTGCTGAGCCTCAGGTGAGGTCAGATATTGCTATGTGTGTTACTGACCTGGGCTTTAAACTTTGCTCCCCCCTGCACCCTTATCTGGAGGATTATCCCATGCATTCAGTTCTTGGCATTCAGCTCCTCTGCAGTCCCCAGCTTCAGCACAGGAAACTCCTTCACCTAGCTACTGCCAGCATGCTTTTGGCGACCCTGGCTGTCCCGTCAGCTGTTACAGGCCATTAAAGGATTTGTTTCCCGGCGTATGAAAAGGCTTAATTCAATTCTCATTCTCTTCTGGCATTCCTCGGAGGTGAGTGCGTCCCCTCGGCATGAAGCCTCCGATGCCGCTAATTGACTTGAAAGTAGCTCATGTCTCCTTGGAAATGTCACCCAGCCCTTTTCAAGTGCAATTCCAGGCAATCAGGATCAATATGTTTCTTTAGCTAAGGGTATTAGCACATGACTGACAGCCCTGCGACATTAGCTTATTCCTACCGACTTCCAGTTGCTCATTTTTCTTCACTGTCTCAGCTGCGATCCCATAAGCAGGGACAGAGCTTGGACTGGAGCCATTCCCCAGGCTGCACTGGCTTACAGCACACTGTGGGTACGGGCTGGCTTGCTCACACCTGCCCTAAATCTGCATGGTGCTCCCGTTCTCCACTTCCCCAAAATCCAATGGCATTGCCCAACCACTTGCTCACTGTTTCAGGAAGGAAAGGGCTGAGATTTCTGCCTGCTTTAATCAGTCTCGTTTGGTATGAGGAAAGGTATCAGCATATTTTTGCTGCACCTTTGCACAGAGAACACTGTCAGAGTAATTCTCTCTCCTCAGATCTTTGCTCCTCGGGAGGCTGTGGTCCACAGCAGAGGATTTCTCTTTCGTCTATGGCCTCGGTGCTGTTTGCAGCCAACACCTGGGTTTGTGATTTCTGTCTTTCAGCAGGCATACTGAGGATGGCATCCATCCACCCTCTTCCTTTGTTGTCTCAGAAATGCTTGTGAATGTCTTCCCAGCACCTCTGTGCTGCTCTCCGTGCTTAGAGGTAGGGAGCGAAAGCACTGGCAAAATGAATTTAGAGGAGCTTACAAAAGCACTTGAGGCAGTGCTTTTGTGAGTGAATTCGATCCGGGCCCAAGTGCCCTCTGCTTTTCTGGTCTCCCTTTCTAACAAGGCTGGCACAGCTGCAGTGCTGCTCTGCGGGGAGGGCTCACACCTCCCCCTCCATGCCCCTTTTCTTGGCAGGGAGAGGGGACCTCACCTCCCACGTTGGCAGACCCTGACCCAGGGGACCTGGGAGTGATGATTCAGAAGTGGGTTTAAGGATATTTCAGATTGTTAAAGGGGGAAACTGAGATGCTGAGAGACCAGAAGCCACATCCTAAGTGAGATGTGTGATTCTTCCCAGTGCCAGCCAGCCACCCTGCCTGCAGCTGTTGGTATGCTCAGCTCCCAGGCAGAGCTGCTCCCTGCCATCAGAGCAGGCTAGGGCTGCAGGGAAGGGATCTGAAGCTAGCTCCCAATGGCAAATATTGGCAGACACAGGAACAAGGTTTGCTGTGCTATTGGTTCTGGAGATGCTTAGAGGGCTTCTCTGCCGTGCTGGGAATCTGTGTCCCTTGCAGGGGTTTGAGCTGCTGTGGAGCCAGAGGTGGGAAGCTGTGTCAGGGAGCTTCTGAGAACGCGTTCCCAAAAGGTGCATCAAGAGATAAACAAGCAAGCCTGGAAAACTTTTAATTCATGCTGTTGCCTGATATCTGCATATGTCTCTTGCTGGATTTTGTGCCCTTTGCAATGAGACGGGGCAGTCAAGAAGGAGTTAATGCTTGTGCCCTATGAAACAAGCGCATCCCAAACCTTGGCAATCAGAGGCAAGCAACAATTATTAACGCCTCGGCATTTAATGTGGCAGATCGCTTACGCCCCCGGTTATGGTGTGCGTTCAATTCCAGAGCACTCGGCGTTGTCATAGCAGGGCCATAGATCACAGCGACCTTAGCATCGTGTCAAGGGGCTTCACTCCATCAGGGATAATGAACATCTCCCACCGGTTTCTCCCCATCACTCACTTGAGATCCAGAAGTTCATCATGCAAATGACAAACAATGTTAATTTTCTGCAAATAATTCCTCTAGATGTCCGCGGGATTCCAGCGCTCTTTGCCCAGAACGGTAAAATATGTTTGTCTTCCTTCCTCTAATTCATCAGCAGGCCCACAAATCTCCCCAAACTCTCTATAAACAAAGCAAGAGGCAGAATCTAATAGTTGTCTGCAGTGCAGGCATGGCTTACAGTCTCACTAATGCAGATGGGGAAAGGAGTGGTGGAAGAGGTTGAGAAGTGACCTTCAAAGACATTCTCGGGTGAGATGTCTTTGACTGCACTCACCCTTGAAAAGACAGTGAGTGTGATGGTCTGAGCCAAGCTTCATACAGACGTGATTCCATGTGGGAGGAGAAACTCAAGGGGGATGCTTCTGGGCTTGAAACTGAGGAGTGAAACTTGCTGCAAGCCGTATCTGCGTCACTAGGAGACTTTCCATCCTGTGGCTGGGCTTCACCATGGATATATTGAACTGTTTTCACGTGGGCAGGGAGGCAAACAGGCAGCTTGTTGGTTTCTCTAAGCATCTCTCAGCTCCCCAAGCTCCAGATTCAGCCAAAAATACATGAAGAGCTGACATCCAGGGAGGTTTGGGCTACAGAGCATAAGGAATTTTGGCTCGGACAAATAGGAAGGTATGATGCAGAAATTAGCTCCAGCAAATGTATATGGTATATGACAGACCTGAGATGAAGCTGCCAACAAAACATCTCTATTTTTCATGCATAAAAGGCCAACAGGCAAGTAAGAGAAAAATTCAAAGAGGATGGTGCAAATCCTGGTCTCCTGCCAAGCTTCCAGAGGAAAGCTCAGGAAAGTTTGGAGGCTCCCATTTTCATCAGAACTATGGACATCCCAAAGCTCCCTCTGCTCTGGCAGCTGAGATCGCCCATCCCTGTGCTCCTGCCTTGCTCTGGCACTCCTGCAGCACTTGGGTTGGTTTGGGGCTGCTGCGTTCCCCATGGAAGTGGGTCCAACCTCTAAATGGCACATACCCATCCCTCCCTTGCTGTCCTTTTCACACTGGAGGGATTTGTAAAGGTCTTTCTAAGCAGCAGCTGCTGTGTGGCTTTTTGTTTTTTGTTTCTTTTATGACAAGCTGGAAATTAATTTCTTTTGCAGTGGTGTCGGACTATCTGTTCCCAAGTCACAGTGCAGACTGAGCTCGTAACTCTCTTGACTGCCTTGTGGCTGAGTTATGGGGTCCTCTGCAGCTCAGCCCAAAGGGTTTAATTTAGAATGGGTATCTTGAAGAAAGCAGTGATCTGACACCTGCCTGGTGCTTTTGCACTCCGTACATTCTCAAAGTTTTTCCTGATATTTGACTGAAAGGTCTCTAGTTGTATATTAAGCCTAGGATTTCTTTCCTACTTGCTTTTTGTTGATCTGCAGAATGTAACCATGTCTCCGTCTCCTCTAGACCAAGCATCACAAATGTTTTCCACCTTTCCTTGCCAGCCATCTCCTATAGATTTCCACTCACTGCTGTCTGTCTGCTTTGGACCATCTCCAGTTATTCACTCTGGCTTGCAGATCAGCATCCCAAACTGGACCCCGTTGAGATCTTAACAGCACAGAAGATGAGAGGAGATGATTTGGATGCTCGTACCTGACATCTTTGTCTGCTTCCATCCTGGTTACCCTTGGCATGATCTTGAACCCATTTTTGGGGCAAGTAGGGTGAAGAGTTTCAATTGCTGTCTGGGCCACCCGTTGTTGTCTCCTTGTTGCCACATGTGGACACTAATATGACCATCTGTCATAGGAACCAGTGTCTTGAATGGGGGATGCTTGGATGAGTTAATGTGAATGGACAAAAGATGTAGTCTGCTTGCAGAGACTAAAGCTCATTAACCCTTCTGTGGATGCTCTCATATAAGCTCCTTCATGAGATTATTTACGACGCGCTTTAATATGTGTGTGGTGCCTGCTAATAAGAAACCTGTGTTGAGTCACACCTTAGCTGCTTTGCCTTAGCTTTTCTAACTGTCTGTTTGCAGCCAGATCAATGAAGTGTGGGCTGCTTGTCTGGCAAATCTAGAGCCTGGGAGAGCATCCAATGACTTGGGTTTAACCCTCCTTGCAGAAAACACATTGATATCTCCCACCTCCCTGTGGCTAGGACTAAGGGAATTGGCAAGGGATCCTTATCCTTGCTTCCCTCCTGCCATCTGTGTGCTGCCAGCTCTGTGCTTACCGATGCCCTTTGACTCCTCCCAGACAAGAGGCCAGTAGTAACTTCATGTTTTCCTGAAAATCAATTCTGGGTTGGCTGCAAGTGGGAAGAAGTGTCACAGGTTGTGCCTGGGCATTCGTTTCAACCTACAAGCTTTGAGGTCAGGCCCTGCACATGGCACCAAGGCTATGCTGCTTTTTTATTGTTCCTTCTGTATGGGGAGAAATTGGTGGGGTTATGGCCACTGGAGAACTCTTCCACCTGCAAAGCTGTGGGGAAGGAAACAAAGCTCTCACTCTTTCCTCATCCTAAGCTCTCTGCTTTTCTGTACTTTCTACTTACAACTACGAGTTGACTTTTTCTTTTTTTATTTTAAATGCCAAGTCCCTCTTTTGTCCCCTTAATGAATAATAACCTCTTAATGGCACTTTCCCAGGGCTTTGTCACTAGCATGACAGCATCTAATCACGTATTATTGGCTCAGCTGAATGGGTCACTGGTTTTACTGGACTTGCACAAAGGACGTTGTAAAGATCCAAGTGCAGTCCAACTCTTCCAAGGATACAGTTATATTTCCTCCAGCTTTTGGCACACCTTGACTTAGGAGTTTTTGAGAGCAAGATGGAGATACCTGCTTTACCTTCTGTCTCACTGGAAATGAACTAAGAGAACTTATGAAAACCCTAACGTTATTCAGGAGTTTAGCTCCAAATGTGGAAGTAAATGATTGTAACCCTCCTGGTTTGTCTTTACCA